ATAAAGCATTTCGTTTATACTCATTGCAGCCTCTGAAACATAGAGATTCTTTTGATGATAATTTTGATGGTCAGTGCACTTGAAAGTAAGAACCCATCTCTTTAAGACGACAGAATTAACAACAACGAAAAATTTGCCATTTTCTCATAAATCAAGTAACCTTGCCTTTATTTAAATGCTCTCCAGAAAGACATTTTTATATATCCGGTGATCTGTTATAACGAATTTTGTTTGAGAGAAATTACGTCGAAGTATTCTATTCTTGGAAAATCTTGTGGGAGTTAAGAGATCGGAATAAAGTATTGACGTCTGGTTTGGAGACGAATCTAAAAACGCAATTAGGAACATGATTGTCATACCAATAACAAAGATATGCACATCTGTTGTACAAAAAGACATAGTTTTTGATAATAATATGCTTTTAAAAGATTTGATAAAAATTAATTTTCCGAGTATTGGGAGAGTTTTTATAAAATTTTGAGAAAAATACGACAGATGTCTGACTTAACATGACTAAGTGAACATGTATATCATTATTCAATAATTACCATAAAATATTATGATTAACCGTAGTTATACTTGTTGTCATCTTGAAATAAATGAATTATGTTGTTGTTGTTTTTTTTTATGACCATGATTATAGTAAATGATGTATGTCTTTGTTTTCTTTCAGTTTTCCACAACGCTCTCTGGTTGGTCAATCGTATTTTTATGTATAAAACATATGATATGGCGTCATAACTCACGTGCATTCATTTAAAGATGATCTGTCATTTGATGTAATAAATCATACCCAATAGACGTTTGTATTGTTGTTGTTGTTTTTTTTTACCGAAGACACTTAAATGCTAAATATAGCGCCAGAACGCTGGCCTAGTAACACCTATCGGGAATGTTCAAAAGATATAAAAGCTAGCCCATAAATGTTAATAAAGTGTTTAGATGACAGCTTTACTGTCATATCGTTCCCATTTTCTCATATAATCAAGATGTTTGACCTATATGGGAGGTGAAGCATATGCATTCCAAGCGTGTACAGCGAGAGAGACGTTTTATTTTTTATTACTAACACTTGACAAATAAGCGTATGAATTATAGCGTGATTATATTATATGTTTGCTTGAAAGTACTGCTTAAGTCATGCAAAATTGGTAGTATGATACTGATGATAGCGGGGATGAGAAATCAAAGTGCAATGGTTATGTATTAGTCACAATAGACAACGAATAACAAGAAATAGCAAAAGATAACGAGGCCAATCCCACGAGACGACTGGTCATGGGAACACTTTGCGAATATTGCCAATGGCCTCATATTATATTATACTTTCAAAAGTTCACAAAAATATCTTCAATTAGTTGGAAATGACGAGAATTCAGCAGTTGTGTATAATATACTAGTCTATTACTACATCTGTACTTGTATATAAGTTTGGTGAATATTAAACAATTATAAAAAAAAAGAATAAATGATGAGAAAAACGAATATATGATTTATAAAACATTCATAAGAAATGAAACTTTATGACCCGTAACAAACGTAAAAATATCATTGCAGAACTGGGAGATATCTGCCTCTTATCTGAACTAGCATCGACCTGAAACAAGTGTGTTGATATGTAAAAGAACACTTAAGTACTCTTTTTCGTAACCAATAGCAAATGTACAACGCAAAAACATAAACGCAAAAAAATCTCTTTTTTTTCTAAATTTACAGACAGACTTAGACGGATGTTGCAGACAACAAAATAACAATCAAGTCTAGAAACCGTTTGCTTATTTGGCAGACAATTTATTAATTCTAGACAATTACATTAATACAACTTCAGAGAATTTCTGAACTTTTTTGTTCAAATGTTGTTCCTCTATTTTATTGCAACTATATTTGAAATATATGGAACAGAAATGAGCCGCGTCACGACAAAACCAACATAATGCGTTTGCGACCAGCATGGATCCAGACCAGCCTGCGCATCCGCGCAGTCTGATCAGGATCCATGCTGGTCGCAAACCCATTATGTTGGTTTTGACGTGACGGGGCTCAAATTATATTTTAAAGAACATGCTACATCAAACGTTTACATTTTTTTTCCAAACAACATTCTGAAATGAAGTCTGATGTTTTTGATATATTGTCTTTAGAAAGTCCCTGCACCTAGACCACTTCTAATATGAGGAAAGCTGAACTAAAATCAGATAATACAAGTTATGAATGCACCAACATCGACACTGTTTGTGACTGATTCAAAAGCTGCATGAGCAGTCTTTTTTCCTGAAAAGGGCAAAACCATTAGGTCTGACTGGAAAATATTGAGATAACAACTGCAATGAATGAATGTAATTACCCTGTGTGAAACATCAAAATTATACTGAATGAAAATTATGTGAACGCTCATTACGGGAATCGTTACTTCCGGTTTCGTGTGTTGACATTTTGCCCATCGGCGTTGATATATACTCCAGTGTCCGTAAGGTGTTAACGATTTCATCAGAAAGTAGTCCCGTGAGAAATCAGTACATTAGCTTGTCCAAAACAAACGCGTATTATATAATGCAATGTTTAATAATGTATTTTGTTTGTTCATAATATTTTGATACTTCCGGTGTGAAAGCGTTCATCTCTAACCAATCTAACGGTAATACGTTGAAATTTTTTGTTAAATACGCACAAGGTGTATTAACACTACTAGTCCCTGCAGGCGAAAAGATAACGACAAAAATTTAGAAAATTTCATTCAAAAGCGATCGAACGAGTGCAATTTCTCAAAATAAACATCTTGTTATTTTCAACTAAATAAAAAAAAAGTTCGCCCAAGTGCAAGCAACATGAAATATCTATACCAATCAATTAACAAAATTGTTAATGCATGTATTGTGTCTGTTCAATTAATGCGACCAGTGAGTGATGTATATTCTAAACATTTTTCAAAGAAATTAACCATACATTAATTTTTAGTCAATAAACTTGATCTCACCTAACATTACCTAACATATTATAATTGTTTTTCCATAAGTGCACATCGTATAAGGAAGTGACTGTGTTTTGTTAGGTTTGCAGTAAACTCATCTAACCGATCATTCCCCCCTTTGTCCGGTCATCCAGCTTTCTACATAAAAATAAAAGCAAAAATTTATACATCATGGGCCAGAAAAAGGACAGTTCAAAATCTGTACATGAAAGTCATCTCTGTTTTATTTCAAGTTGAAATAGCAGTGGTTCATCACCATGATGTTAATGATGAAAAAAAATTCAGCCATGCTTGAGGACTCCTCTGATTTATAGAGATGTTTCTGCTGTCGGCTATATATCAATTAATGTGTCCTTACATGACCTTACAACATTCCTTTTTCATTTATTATCAGCAGACGACACACTAACAAAAAAACGTTTATTACTGTCAAACACAAAGGAAATCCGATTGTCTTTTTTAATTCCGGTTTACCAACATGTTTTACATCTCAAAGGTCGGTCTCTCTTTTTTTTTGCTAAATGAACAATACAGAACAACAACTATAAACGTTTAGTTCTTGCATTTGTTATAGGCATTTTGTTCGACAAATGATGTGCGTTAATTTCTCAAGGGGAGCATTGGGGTCACTTGTATTTGTATATTCATAAATAATTTTCTTTTTTTAGAAAGTTCGATCAGTGTAATTGAAGCAGTAAGACAAATCTTGTGCATGTCATATTTGACAAGCTGTTTGTTTATATGTCCTAGACGGTCTCTGATGCGCCAAATGTTTCTCTAGAGAAGTGCGAGGTGCTGGAAGACATACAACACGAGGATGAACTACGTGTAAGGTAGAACGAAAATTGCTCGCATAACATCTTTTGTCCGAAGCCTGCATTCCACAACTTCGATATATTTACATGATCCATAAATTCCATACATCTTATGCAATTGTTTTTTTTTTGACGAAACATAAAGAGTTATATTAACAATACGTTTCAAAAATGAAAATTTTATTCTGTTTCAAGTTTGAATAAAAAAGGGCCGTAACACCAATCACCTTTCGGTTGATGTAGTATAGGTACACTATTTGCATTACATGCATGTTGTTTTTTACAAAAGCATCTATATACGTATATAAGGTTTCATAAGTACATAAGCGAAAATGTTCTGTATTTTAAAGTGTTTGACAAGTCTTGCCTTTAAGCGACAAACAATGATTATATAAGTATAATTATACAGTCGTAATTATTTTAACTTGCCTGTCATAAAGACAACTTTGATAAACTTCCTCATGTGACAGACGAGAATAAATCTGCATGCATTAAAAGATGAAACAAATGTGCTATCAAAAAATTTCCATCAGTTTTTCAACAATTTCCGCAACATTCAACAAAGAAACAGTCGAGATTTTCCCAAATGAACCAAATAAATTGTGCTCGTACTTATACATACGTTTGTAATATTCACATTTAATTAGTTTTTTTCGTCAAGAGTACAAAGCGGTGATTCTGTAGTTTGTCGTGGCATAACGTCGAATGCAGGATCTGAAAACGTCAAAGCTTTGTGTGTACTTTAAATTATCGAGAGACATCAACGTGAAAGTACAGAGATATACTTGGTGTAAACTGGTAATGACATTTTATGAGAGCTGTCCAATAAAGAAGACAAAGTCAAGCACGTCTTGTAATCATGTTCTAACCACGTGATAATATTAGGGTCTACGGTCTACAAACGTTCGCCTATACATCATATAGAACGTTAACTCACATTGAAATACCAACGACTAATTAATATTCTTTTAAGTACAATGTAGAAACGTGTACGTCTCATATCTAATTAAGTTTATTCTTAAAATGTAAGCGATATATATTTTATACAATTTGAAGAATAAATTAAAAAAAATTGTGATGTTTTCCAGCTTGATGAATTTAAAACAGACACATTTCGGCATAATGAAAAAAAAAAGATTTTGTTAACGTTATCGGTTAAATCTCTTTAAAAAATCTGTCACCGAGTTGAATACTTGAGCCGTTGTTAACGATATTTGTATTGGTGTTTTTGTTTTTGTTGTTGTTGTTGTTGTTAAAATCAAAATTTATGTTTGTTTTCCCTGGAGTCTTTAGATAACTACTAGAATAATGCAATGTATTGTGTCCATTATTTTGCACAACTTGAAAAATATCAACAACAAAGAAACAACACCAAAAAAAGACAAATAAGTAATAAAAACGACATAAATACTAACTCATTAAAAAGAATTTCGTAACTTGTTGTTGTACAACAGTTAGTTTGATTACTCTGGATTGTTAAGTAGTTGGTGTCTGGTACGTACCAGTATTTTACTACAAAATGACCTATAAAAATGCAGACAGGCAAACTTATACGTGTGTATGTCCTAAAACCAGGTCACTTTTCTAGCATCATCAGTCTTTCTTTTTCTTAAATTTCCAAGGTTACCATTAATGCTAAAAGGAAATGATAAATGGTAATTATTTCGTTTCAAGAACTTAATTGACTCAAATGTGCCTGGAAAATTTAAACTGCACATTCTTTTCGCATGCACCTACATTCCAGTTATGCTTTTTATTTGATATAATGATGAATTCCTTATTTTTATACGCCATTATCGTAATGAATGTTATATTATGTGAACAAACATATTCAACTAATTTAGAAGTTTGTAAACGTTATTATTGATCATTTACCTACGTTAAGATAATAAAACGTAATAAACTTGACCATGTAAATGATAAGTTGCCATCTTGGAATGCCATAAATTCTCAAAGTATGATGTTTACGTGCACGTGCACTACTGTCCATTAATCTAAGTCAGTATATAATGAGGAAATAAGAAATTTACATTGTTAGATGCACCAAATATTTTGTTCAAGGTGAAATATTCTAGAAAATAAACCCGCCTCATTATGAACTTTGTTCACGAAAGTTCTCGTTGTCTACATAAATAGATTACAAACTTAATCATTTTTGGTGTTGTTATTGTCGTTGCGGTTGAAGCTGTTGTTGTTGTTGTTGCTGTTGTTGTTGTTGTCGTCTGATATCAGGAACAGTCGTTATCGATAGGTAAATTCCGGAATGGTTCAAGTGCTTCAAAGTTGTATTATTATGTTTATAATTTAAACTAATATATATCGTACATGTATAAAAATCATTACTGCAATCGATCGCAAACATAAATCAATTTAAACAACAACAGCAACAAAAAGAAAACACTGCAAATTGTTGAATTATTGCACCTCATGGCTTATGTATATATTTGGTGATTTGTTGTATGTATTTTTACTTCTTATCACTATAGTATATACATGTAATCATATATGTATCTGCTTATGTTCAGTATAAAGCCACTTTCCTGTATATGAAACAGGAATTTCATATGTATTTACCGTTATTTCAAAATGTACCAATGATTCTATACAAAGTTTCATATGTATGTAATATGTATTGTAGTTTATCAGTTTTAGTATAAATACCCACGCAAAAAATTTGTTCCGCCCACCAAGTCACTTGTGTCATTTGATACTGAATGTTCTGTTATTCATTCTGAAATATTATGACGATCTATATCAATTTTCAATTTATCTGTGGTGTCGTGAGAACATGTGATATGTTAAAATGATAACACGTCGCAGAAATGCTGTATTAACATCTGCCCGTTTTTCAATATACGAAGCATCAATGAAACATATAAAAATGTACGAAAATGTAAATTATATATGATGTATTTCATAAATAAACATCCAAGTAATTAATTCATGAACAAATAAACTTCAAATTCCCAGTCTAGCAAAAATTGAAAAGTTAAAAGCATGTTCTGTTCAGAAAAAAATGGGTTGTGATTTAGTGATAACACAAAAAAATGAAGTATCTAAATGCAATATAATTTAAATGAATACAGTATACATGTAGTTCTATATATGTTGCAAAAATATTTTGAAATGTAAAGAAGATTACTTTGAAAATGCTTGTATGAAAAAAATATATGGTGGAAATTACTTTAAGTACATGTATAGGTTAAAGTTTATTAGTACGCGCGACCAATTTATTTTTGTAAATGCAGATGTACGTACTAATAAATTTTAACCGGCTTAGTATTTTAAATTATTTTTATTAACAGTCGATTTACTAGACTGGCTAACAGTTTGCCGATTTACCAAAGTAAATATGTTACGATTCATTCGAAACACTACAATCCTATTGGACAAAAAATAATTTCAAACACTAAGGGATTTAGTTTGAAATTATTTTTTGTCCAATAGGATTGCAGTGTTTCAAATGAATCGTAACACAAGCATCTAATATGGTAGAAAATAAAAAAAAAATCGAAATATAATTGGTTAAATATATAACGCAGAAATCTACGATTATAGAAATATATGGTAAAATAAAGAGTTATTCCAATGTTTTTACCTCTTTAATTCATGTATAAGACCAATTAACTGTCGAGTACTTACATACTTTATCTGCATAGACAATGACGTCATCACGCGGTTTTTACGTAATTTACATACCATATTACATACATAATTGTGAAGATCTATAAATCATTAACAGATCTTTTATTTCATTGTATAGAGCAGGTTTTCTCCCGATTATTCAGTATGACCGTTGTATGGCACGTATATTGTTCACACATTTTAGCTGTATGTTGAAAATGTCAGTCTGATGTTTCCAAAAAGCCAATTGAAGCCATCTCAAATAGAAGACAATACATACGTGGGTGATTGAACGTTATGGCAATTCTTTACCCGACGAAGTTTGTCCCGTGAAGTGACACCGTCTGACACACAGTCTATTGTCTGCAGCACTGCAACAAAGGTCGTGACCAGCTTGCACTGGTCAGTAGTTAGTATACATGTATTGTATACTAGAATGTTCGTATACCGTTGTCATCTTCTGTAAAAAAAGAGAGAGAAAAACGGGTTCACCTAAAGAACGTCATTGAAAATGTTGCAGGGTCGGTTTGATTGAACCTGTTACTGTAATTCTGATTTACAAACTTTAATTAAGTTAGAAATAACAGTTGGTATGACAAAACACGTTGTCAGTCTTGAGCAGTATATCAATTACAAAATGATTGCTACAAATATTACATTTACAAATCATATTCAGATAAATGCATAAAAACATTGCTTCTTTGAAAGAAATTCGAACTATCAAGATTGCTGTTAAGAGTCAAGCTTTCCACATAGTTTCGGAAGTACCTACTTTTCATTGGCTGGTAGTTTCATGTCACTGAAAGTATGAATCTTTCCCATAGTCTGTATAATCGGGACAAACATTTGTCATGGACACACATCCTGTTTTAAATATTAAACAGTCCATTGTTCAATTTCAACTCATCAAACATTATAAAAAAACATGAGTTATATACTAATATTATTAGAGATTTCAATTTCATAATTTACTATTCTGAGTGAACAACAGAGTCGAGTAAAATATAGTGAAACATTCTATATAAATATATACATATATGTTCATGTTATCGTTAACGAACTGAAGATTATGATAATTGCGATAAGTGTATAAAAACAAGAGAAGAGAGTCAATGTCCGTTTCGTTTTATGGTGGACAAATTTACTAGTATATGAATGACAACCACTAATGACTAATGTATACGCTCTAAATAACAGACAAAAATTGCTTGCAAAACAGTCACCAGAGTCTTGTATATAAGATGACTTATATTTTCCGAAAGTGCGAATATCTACTTTTTTTCAAACTATTTTACCGATAAGGCCGTCCTGCTCTAATGTCAAATTTCGTTTTGTACCAATTTTATGAACAAAGATATATAGCATCACTTTCACAATAATAAAGTACATAATAAAACATCTAAATAGCCTTCACTGTCAGTATGTACACCAGAAGCTGAAACATCATGTTGTTGTTTTTTCTTGCAACAGCACAAGTCCTTGAATATAATGCAATCCATTATTCTAAATGTCCTTGTGAAATTACTTAATGTACTTTTGCTCTACAAAAGAATGTGACACACGGTTTATTTTTACACCCGTCCCACAAGCCGCTTAATACATGTTATATGAGTTACGTATATCTAGAAGATGTGCAATTGACATTATAGTATCATATCTTTACCTGCTGTTGCATAGATTTAGATTACATTGTCACAATTACATTTTCTCATTATATAATGTCGTAAGAATGTGCAATGTCGATTATTTATACTGAAATTTTCATGTCCATATGAAAACTATGAAAAATTTACATAAGGAATTCAGAATTGGAAAGTCATTAGTTATAATACTCCAATCCTATGTCTGCATCGTTCACTGTAACATTGGGAAACGTTATTATATAGGTTGAACGGCAAATAAATATTTTGTACAAGCACATTAAGGTTAACATCACAAATACAACATTTATTACACTATTATTCACCCTGTAGGTAAAACTCTGTCAAAAAAGTCAATTGTAACATCTGGAAAGAGTGTTGTTTTTTGTTGTTTTTTTTTTGCAAAACACGCAAAACAATTTTAAAATACATCAAAATATACTTTGGATTATTTTTATGGGGAAGCTATCCAGCTTTTGCAGTTCGTTCTACACAGGTTCCCGCTCGTGCTTTATATAATGCACGGAGGTGCATTTACAATAATGTCGGTGCGAGCCGTGTCCTTCGATCTTTCAGACTACTTGAAAGACCTCTTGGTGTGATACATTACCAGGCTGGCCTGAAAATTCGTACATACGGTTGTTCGTTACAGGCGATAGCTCTGATGACAGTGGGAAACATAGATCAGATAGATAATATAATTCGCAGTCCAATCGAACTAATTTACAAGTTCGCTATCCAATAAACAGAACACATAACGTAGTGATAAAATTCATCACAAATACTCAACACTTTCTCGCTATTTTATCGATTTATCTAAAATATATAAATGTTTACAATAAATAAAGTATAACCATCTTGTCGACTGCTGTATATTGTGACAATAAAACACAAAGAGCAAGATTTATATAATTTGTAGCAGATGTCAATATATTATATAATAACGAGAGCTCGTGACAATCAATCTTTTGCTGGCTATTACATGACAGTCTCTTCAGCTCAGTGGGAGCTATAAATAGATTGTTTAGCTTTTCAATGATGAATAATTGTCTATCTATCTATCTTAGCATTTTCACATTCAGAATGACAGGGGAAAAACAGGTGAAGCAATTTACTTTAATATCGTAAATCTCTTCGAATTTTTATCAACGATATTTAAAAAAGGCCACTTTAACACTGTAGACTGGTCCACAAAAACTGCACTAACGCAATCTCTCCATTCTCGACCAGTTTCCCGGCTTTTCTCACTCATCTTCATCATTTAACTCAAACAGGTTCCCGGTTTTTTTCACATCAATTAAAAAACGTAATAAGACCATAATCGCCATACATCTATGTACTATTTTGCTTAAACATTCAACGGGTACACTTTCTATTATGAAACGTTCATTATCAGGCTATTGTAGGCGAATTCAAAATGAAAATAAAATATTTTCGTTTGTTGTAAAAGATCTAGCCAACAATAAGGAAATGCAATTAAGAACTTCAAACGTAGTCAAAACAATTTGATTACCATGCAAACGTAATCGAGTACAAAAGACAACAATGATGAATAAAACGTTGACGTCATGGCTCTTCTGCACTTTTATAAGAATAAAGCTGTCTGACAATAGTTGACCAGATTACCGGATCGTAAAGAATTCAAAATGTAATTACTTCTTATTTAACTAGGCGGGTTGTCAACAATGTCACGAAATAGGGGTATAAGTACAAATAACTGCGAACAAAATCGAAGGCTATATATAGGACAAGATAGTTAAAAAGTGGACAATTATTTGACTTGCGTTTGACGTCAATACAATAAAGAGTTGACATTGAAAATTAAAACGGATTAAGTGACCGTCAATAAATAGACATTTTATATTCGCCCATGGTGCATACAAGCTAAATATAAACATATATTTCAAAAATAGATCGAAGTATAGCATTGGTGTGATCCTATACTTGACACAAGCCTATCTTGTGAGATAAGGTCCTTACTTTAACCTTTTGTCTTTTTTGTCTAAAATACTATCTGTTATTTAACTGACCAATGTATTGCACAGCATTTTTTTTATTGTGGGATACATGTATATTTGTATGCTCTGAATCCAGAAGTTACAAATGCCAAAACACTTTCTAGGGGACACCATGCCAACTTTGGCACTAATCACATCCATGTGATATGCCAAACAGTAACAGACCGAGGACCACACCCCCTTTATTTTTACGGATGTTCAATACTGGCTGTGCTCACTATTTTAAGAAGGTGGGTATATCGGACTGAGCGTATGTTGACATAAGTTATTTGGGTGTGTTAAATTTGTAGGTCATCTTAAATATCTCAAATATGTTGACCTTTGATATACTATTCTATTAAACCAAATATTGACTAAAGAGATAACTGAAAATATTTCAGTACGGCCTATTATATAGAGATTCATTAACGAGTACAGGGCACAAGGGTCAAAATGTCGTTCAATAAGCTTGAACATGCAGATAGTGCTGTTGTTTGCTCTAAAAGTAATCAAATTATATTATTAAGTATATCGCTGTTATATAATATATATTTCATACGAAATGTACTGATAAATAAACTATTTTTGTGCTAATTACACAACTCATAAAGAGATCAGTTAACGGCACATCATGTCCCAGTAATTATTTAATTTCTTAAAAAGCTTTTTAATTTTGATGCCCGGTTAAGAAACTCACTGGTCAATTATCAGAACCATCTTCGGTTTCTCTTACTTTTTGCCAATTAATACAGTTATAGTGATTTAGCATTTTGTATGGAAGTCATAATAATTTTTTGTTTTCATTTTGCTACTTTTAAAACAAATATTCTTACATTCAGCGCTAGTTTCTTCTGGGGATAAGCATCTAACACGCCCTTAGACCATTTTCTAAACATTATAAAACTCATGTTTGTCCATTCTTAAGAAGATAGCAATAATCCGTTTCTGAGATTTGAGACAAGGTGACTGATTTAAACTGAATTATAGAGGTATATTTTAATAATAATAATAATAAATGAATTGTAACTAAGGTGCGAATGCATACACCTTACATTCATTTTGTTACATATTCAAAAAGCTAAATTAAATTTATCCGAATTTTAAAATATTTTGAAAACCATGATGACTCAAGGATTAATGATTCAACTTTTGTAGGCGTGAATTTTTAAATTATAGACATAAAATCGCCCTTGAAATAACATGCCAAATAATTTTTCCCGTAGATAGAGTGTCCGGTTTGTCCAAATAAAATATCTGTGGTCAACTTATAAATGTCACAAGGTCAGATATATTTATCTAGTAACCACAGTTTGGTATTTATGACTGACCATGGAATGAAAATAATGATATCTATTTGACCCGCTGTCACTGTATGGTATTTTCACGATATAGTAATTGGACAAGAACCGGCGTGACTTGTCGTTGCTATATAAATAAAAGTATTACTAGAATAGTTATTTGACCAAAGATTGACCGCACATATCAATTAAGTGTTGGTATTTTGATACTATTTTTATTCTGTTTCTAATGCGTAGTTTAAACAAAATAGTTTTAATTATTCAATATTACTAATTCCATTTTAACCAATAACTTGTATTCCTCTAATTCAGTCGCAGAAAGCGGCAGAACTTGATTTAACACAATAGACAGAATAGACAGAAAAGGACCGTAAAAGAAGCCTTAATACATAAGAATGAAGCGTGTTGAGAAAATCTTAAAATTGCCAAAAGAGAATGTAGGACAAACCCCCACCAGTCAAAACCCCACACCTCAACATTTTATAGAGTGGAAAAAAACCCACACCTCCAGTTTTACAGAGTGGACAAAACCCTACACCTCTAGTTTTATAGAGTGGACAAACCCCCACCACCTTAAATTTTTGAGATCATCAGAAATCTTTTGTAACGCTTGGACACTCGACGTAACTTGAATGATATCAGTCCAAAATTAAACTTGCAAGACTTCTGGTTTAGAAATTCTGCAAAAAAATCTCATAAATGAGCGGCAGTTGGTAAATCTACAAATAAAAGTCACGAGAAATTTATGTTTCTCTCCGACAATTTTGTATCATAATTCATGAACTTTGGTATTTTTGTGCTTAAACAATTATCATGTAACGGCGCTAAAATACTGGACACTTTTGTACTACGTACAGTACAGGAAATATGTGAGGCGGTCAACAGCATCATGGTTAACAATGGTTACGTTGTAGAACGTCTGCACCTCT